GGTTAGCCTACAATTGTGGCCTCTTCTCCCGTGCTCAGCCATCCAGAACAGCAGCCAAAGAGTGAACAGAAGGAGATCGCCAATCCTGGGACTAGAGTTTGGCAAAAAAGATGCTTGGAAAAGTGAGACAACATAGGATTTTAGGGCGGGAGCTCTGGGTTCCAGCCTGGGCCATTGAGGCTGGAGTGGTTTGAATAGACAAGGTGACCTGATAAATAAGTCTGACAGAAGTGAGCAAATGCGAAAGGTGACAGGTGACATTTCTTGGAGGTAATGCAGTTCTAGCCAGTGGTGTTCTCAACCATTTAATAACCAAAGTGGAATGAAGATAGAAGAGATGGACAGGATCATAAAGGGTAGCAGAGGGATGGTGAGCTGAGGTTTTGAAGTCCTGAGCATTACAGCGGGAAGCAAAAAGGAAGACCAAGCAAGCGTGTGCCAAAGACAAGCTGCACTGACAGTTAGAAGAAAAGTTCTGAGATAAGCTTAGATCCTGCTTGAGGAGCATCTGCTTCTAACCCAGGTGAATTCTTCCTAACACTAAGGCTGGCTCCCAGCCCAGCAGGCCGAGCTGTCCTTTGGGGATGAATTTGCTTTAACTGTCCGCCACATGATGAGAAATATAACTAATGAAATGGACCGAATTCTTCTCACCTCTGGTCAGCCTGTCATCTTCCTGGAGATTATATGATAACAACATTCCAAGTCTAACTAGAAGTTGCTTGCTGAGCACAGGGTCGTGGTGCAACAGGTTAGCTGGCTGATCTTGGTAGCTAATGTCACCTGCTCCAATGGTCTGATAGATCTCTCTTTAAATTTATGGTAAAGGGAAACAGGTGTCTCTCTTCATGGGCCAGCTACAGTACACTCAACCCTAAACAGTGGTAGAGAGACGCCTACATTTCTCCTGGAATCTTTGATCACAGTCGCCTTATACACCATCCTCCTAGCCTGTTTCTTCAGTAAAAACATACGCTGATTGTAATGAACAAGGTGTAAATTTTCTTAATTGTGATTTAGTCCTGATTTCTCGAGTTATGTCCAAGCTTCCTCGATTTGATTTTGGCTGTCCTGAGGCAATGGCCTCACAGTTGATCTTCGACCAGTCACTGTAGATTCTTCCAATTTGCTTTTAAAGAGGAAGTTTAACTTTAATGTGAAGGTTATAACTGATTCTATCCCATAAGAAAGGCTTTGGTTTCTCATAGTTTGAGACACTATAATGATAGCACAACTCTGAAAGTATGGCCTCTGGACCTAGCACAGTGCTAAATGACTTATAAACATTTATCTTTTGTACCCTTTCATGAGTATCTTATTCCTGTGTACAGATGAGGACGCCAAGACACGCAGAAACTGAGTAACTTTTCTAGGTTCATACTGTTAATAGCAGAGCTGGATTGAAATTCAGTTGATAATTCCAGAGCTGGTGCTTTAAACTCTTTATTCAATATTGTTCCCTGAGAAGGGCATTCAGTGTAGCAGAAATAGAATACTGCTATTAATAATAATGATGATAAATATAATTTCAGCTTTTCATATCAGGTACTTTACCTAAATTTTTATGAATTATTATTGCATTCCTGTAATGTAGGTATCATAAGTTTTGTGTATGAAATAAAGTTGAAGACATCAAATAACTTTTAGAAAGTCTCATAGCAGGTAATTAGATTCTGAGTCCAAAACTAAAGCTCAAGGGCGTTGATAGATGGAGGTTTGTGTTATCTCTGGAGAGTCACAGTTGCCTGATACAACTCAGGCTTAGAGCACATGGCCACGTGGAAGAGATGGGAGGAATCAGGAATATTAAGGGGGTGAATATTTTTAGAGGATTAATATGTCTTTAAAGTATCAGATCGAAGATTGGAAACTTCGAGTGTTAGAAAAAAAATAGACTCGAGTGGGAGCAAAAGATAATAAAAAATGCTCTTTCTCATAGAATAAAGTCACGTATGAAGCGAAAAGTGTGGTAGAGATCGAAGAATCCTACACTTTTTTAGAGGAGAGCAGATCATTCATAGATTTTTTTTTTTCTTTTCAGTTAGGTGGCTCAGAAGGGATAATTGTTCTCAGACGGGACAGTAGCTTAAAGCTCTAAGACTTAAAAAAAAAAAAGTATGTGGTGCTTTTAAATTCAAAGCCTTGGAGAGGTACTCTGTTGTCTCATCTACAGCGTATTTATAAACGGGGGCACTAGTGGAGATGCATTAAGTTTTGGTGGCCGGGGATTATTTTTGTCTTTTTAACCTTCCGGTGGGTGTCTGTGGCGGCAACAAAGCCAGAAGTGGTCTCTGTTCCCTTGGTTTTCGGTCAGAAACTATTTTACATCACAATAAATCAGCAGTCTCTTCAGCATCAGGTCCCCGGTGATCAAAGTATTCAATTACATTCCCCGATGAAATCGTGAATACCCCGGTGGTTACCTATGTACATTCTCTCCCCTTCAACAGTGGGCCTTTTTTTTAATAAAAAAAACAAAAAACAAAATTGGATTCATTAGGAAAAGGGAGTCTTTAGCGTATAGATGGGTACATTTGAACAATGGCAAAAAGCAATATACTTGGGGCCTAAGAGAAAAAGTATCCTCTTCCTTTCCTTCCCATTCTTTTTGCCTGTTTTTAATGGAATTTCAAGTATAATTGAACATGTCTCTTGGGAGTGAAAGCTGCATTTGATTAAGCCAATCATATGGGAACTAGCTGGGGTAGGTGTTAGCGGTACAGGAGTAGTAATTTTAATACAGTCAAGCTTTTACCAAATAATTTTATGATGACCTTATACTTGGGAAAGACTGAGAAGTAATCCGGGCTTAACATCCCACACAGTGGAAAATTTATCGTTCACCGTCTTTCCCAGACGACTCTGCTTCTGCCTAAGATCTTCGAACCGGTTCACTAGCCCGTCAGTGTCAAACGCAAGGAGGGAAGGGGCTGCGTGGCACTGTGCCTCCCTCGTCCGCTCTGTTACAGAGGAGCCGTAAATTTGGGGAAGTGCCACTCGTTACCATTTCCTCGGGCCTTGGAACCCAAAACGTCTAAAATTAAATCCCATTTCTGCCACTTCCTGTGTGACTTTGGGAAGATTCCTAACCCCTCTGGTTTCAGTTTTTTTGCATGTGAAACAAGCCAGTAAGTAGGGAGTTTGTGAGCTGTGCTCTGAGACCTACCGGCAGAATGGTTTAAAGGATTAATCATAACATGTGTAAAGAGTCTGACACACAGTAGGCACTTTATCCGACTTATACCCTGTGGGCCTAATTCTCATCTTTTCTAGGCATGTGGTACGTCATCCTGTGTTCAGAATCCCAGGGGTCGTCAGTCCAGTACAGAGCGAAACAGGGCATTATCCGTACAGGGCATTATATGAGTTCTTCCTAAAGAAGGGAAGATGGGATGTGCACAGCCGAGTGGGACACTCGGGTTCTGTGCACCACGAGCGGCGTCGCCGCCTTCCTAGGTCTGTGGCAGTATAGTGATTATAACGAGCAAGATCATTAGGCTGCCTGGAGGCGTGAAGAGAGAAGGGATACACAGGCGTATGTCAGAATTTATTAGTGTCAACTAAGACTTCTAACCCAAAACAAGTGGTGGAAAATGGAAACTTCAGTTACGCTATTGTTTGGTCTACATTAAAGCGAGCAGTTGGAGTGATTCCCGTTAGTCTCGCTGGTTTTATTTTTCAACTTTGTTTAGAAACAGTCTAAATAATTAATTTTTTTTGACAGTGACTATCTACTGCAACTATTTATAATGCCTATTTTAAAACTACTCATTATGCATTAGTAAAAGTTTCAAAGGCCCAGGAGGGTGGATGAGCCCTTGGCCTGATGTTTATAAGAGATTGGCCACGTTCAGAGAAGAAAAAGTGCATTTTTCTCCATCGCCCTTTCCCATTTCCGAATGTATTTACTTTGTGGGAGGAGCCTCCTCAAATAGTCTCTTGTTAGGGCTTTCATTTTGTAAAGCTCATTATTGATTTTTAGGTAGCCTCTAAATTTTATTGTATTCTTTCTGAAAACCTGTTAATGGGGATGTGTAACTCCTATGAAGTGGGTTAGGCAAATTCCAATGATAACTCTTCACTAGTAGTTTCTAGGGAAGACAGTAAAGCTGTCTCTTCATTTTAAAATAACCTAAAACGAGGGAAAATGGCAAATGTTCTGAGCTGATCTGGCTTTATCTGTTTGATGGGGCGCAGTAATACCATCACTATATCAGTAGAGCGGGTCGCTTTGGAGAGCCAGTAGCATAAATCTAAATGGTTTGGTTTTATAGCCCGAAGGGACTTTATCACAAGACATCTGTGTTTTCCACAAACTGACTGCTGTTTGTATTGTTTTGAAATGGAAAACATTTCTGCTTCACTTACATTTAGTGTGTTTTCGGTACTAAGTGCACCATAGATACTGATGAATTGGCAGCCAGATATGGCTGAGTGGTAACAGCAGACCCTCAAATTGAGCACTCAGGTTTTTAGCCATGCTGGATAGCCGAGCGAGTGTGTGTGTGTGTGCGTGCGCGTGTGCGTGCGTGCACACACGTGTGAACTCGTGCACCTGTCCTTGAGTATCAAGAAAACCTGCCGGTGTTATTTCTCATTTCTTCAAGTCTTTTTATTCTGTCATTTGACTCTGTTTGGCCAAATAGCTGTAAATGCAAGGAAATTGTTTCGCATCCACATTATGTTAATTTTGAGATGTTATTAATAAGCAATTCAGTAAATATATAGAGCAACAGTGAATTTAACGACTTTTAGTTTAAAGCATTTCTTTTAAAGGGTAAGTTGTCACAATAGACTGTTTCCTTAGGGAGAAAATACTTAACATGTGAATGTTTCTAGAAAAATTTCTGTTAGGCATATGACTCTTAATATATTCAAATACAAAGGGACTGATTTTGAAAAATGATTTTCTTAACTATTGTGAATATTATATCTTCTCTACCTTGCCTTTATGAATAATTATTAATTAGGTGTATGATATATGTTGTTTATTTTTATAGTTAAAACAGAGCCAATGAGCAGCAGTGAAATAGTTTCAACAACATCAGACGGGTCTTTAGACAATTTCTCAGGTTCAGGTAAGGAATAACATTATTTTTCTTAGTTTGTTTATACGAATACGTATGTATGTGTGTATAGTATTATGTGTACATTATATATATATAAAGCAACTTGTCTCAGTCACATTTTTGCAGAATTCTGATGTTTTTATTTAGTGTGATAAAGTTTGCTGAAATTGTTGGCATCCTATAAAGGAGATAAAATCAAAAGGAGCATTGTTCTTTTCCTTTCTTCTATTAAATTATCATTATTATGTTAACGACTCCTTCCCTTTTTCTCTCATTTGTATGATTTTTCCATACCCCTAAACAGACCCGCCAGGCCATCCTCTTAAGTAACTGTCATGTCAATTATAGATCTAAATTAAACAGATCGGTAAATCAGCTCTAAATCCTCAAGTTAGATTTTAATCTTTCCCATTAAAAAAAGTCCACCCCCAACAAACAAAATCCAAGTGTCACATCTGTGATAATGAAATTACAGATAAAGTGATTGTGATAATAAAGTAACTGCGAGGATGTGATTATATATTTGCCAAATTACCCAGTGTGGACTAGTTCAATTAAAAATTATTTCTATCAGAAGTAATTCTGAAATGTTTAATCATTTTCATATTATCTGCTGTTTATAGAACTTTTCAATGAGAAATGCCATACTTTCATAAATTTGTGATCGACGTAATCTAGCTCTCAGGATCATTTATTTTATACATACCACAATTAAAAGGTATTATACAGAGATATAAAATAAAATTCATACTAATGATACCAGGCAATGTGCTTTGTGTTATTATGGACTCAAAGACATCTGAAAATGGTCCTGGTTTGGGGCTTTACGGGGTGAACAAATGACCAGACCGACGCAGTGCAGTTCGATAACGGCAGAGAGAAGCCCAGGGATGCCCCACGAGAACCCAGCAGAGATTGGGTTGGGATGGAGTGGTCAGGCAGGTTTTCCTGGACGTGATGCCTGCACTCAGCCTTTACAAATGAGTAGGAGCAAAGCTCACGTGGAACTGGGCAGGGGAAGCTGGACAGGTGGAGCATTCCATGGGAGGAGACCAAGGCGCAGAGGTGTGGAACTTGGAGGAACCACCACGGTTCACCTTTCTTGGTGTGTACTGTGTGAGCAACGAGGGACGTGGTGGATGGAGGCAGGGGCTAGAGTCCAGAGAGGCGTGAGGGTCCTGCATGGTATTGTGTTTTATCCTGAGTGCCGTGGGACGCATCAGGAGAAGGGGGTCGCATGACCATCGTCACATACGGGATGCAGGACGAGCGTGAATGAGAAAGGGAGGTGGTGACTTCAGTTTGGATCATATTGTTCGTGAGGCAACATCCACCTGAAATGTCGGAGATAGGGAAAGGTCTGGAATGGAAATTCTGAAAGGGCGCAGAGACTGTAACAGCTGAAGACAGAATCGAAGGAAAGCCAATATGTAAGAGACAGGCGGGGCATCAGATGAGAGCACAGGAGGCTGGGGAAGAAGTGTCAAGCTGGAAGTGGAAATTGGGAGGATTTCAGGGAGGCGCTGTCTGCGACGGATTCATAAACAGCTTTTCAATGTATTTGTAAAGTTATTGACATGAGAAAACTATATTAAGTGAAAAAGTAAATTATAAGGAGTAGTGTGTTCAGTGTAATGACAGTTTTGTTTTTTTTTTAAAAAAAAGGCATTTATGTGTATGTATATGTGCCTGTATGCATACAAAAATTAATAACAGCTTCATCTGGATGACGGAACATCATTTTAATTTTGTTTTTTTTTAAAGAATTTTATTTTTACTGTGCATATATGTAACATACTTTTAATGCAAGGTAAAGATCACATACAACAAAGAGGTAATTGTTTTTTCAAAGTATCTATGGATAATAGGATTATATCACTGTTTTCCCTGATATTGATAGCCATAATGTGGTAAAGGAATTCCTTGTTTTTAAGAAACATACACTGAAGTATTAGTAAAGGGACATCGTATCTGCAACTCGAAAAAACGTGAAATACACACACATACAATATGAACACATGCAATAATGTAATAAAATGTTAGCATTTGGAGAATTTGGGTGAAGGATATTGGAGGACGTTATTCTACTTTCCTGCAAGTGTCAAATTTCGTCAAAATGAAAAACTTTTCTTTAACGAGAAGCATCAGTGGATTTAGCCGACAGCATTCCCTGTAGGTGGTGGGCTCTTCCCCGCTGCACCTGCTGGCCCAGATGCCCCATTTCTGTGTCTCCGGCAGAGTTCCTAGCAGGTAGCATGTACTCACAAAGTTCACTGAATGGATGGATGATGAAACGAATAAGGAAGTGAGGACAGGGAAGAGAAAAACATCTTTCAAGTCCGTAGATGGTACAAGGAGAGAGAGAAGGTAGACATTAGAAAGAGGGATACACGGTTGAGAATGGTATTGAGAAGATCGGGGGTTTTGCTGCCAACACAAACTTCATGGAGGTAGGGGTTAGGGTATAGGCAAAACACAGGGGTAATTGGTGGAGGAAAGTCCCCGATGGGACGGCAATGGCTGAAATCCAAAACGGAAGTGGATTGGCCTAGAAAAGGAATAACTTTTCCACAGAAACATCAGGGAAGTGATGCAGATGAGTTTGAAGTGGAGGAGGAGGCAATACATTAAGGAATTCCAACTTTTTTTTCTGAAGCGACTCGAAATGAGCATAGCGATAGGCTCGTGAGCTTAAGGGGGTGGAGAGGGCTGCAGCGGATGCCGTGGGGGCGGGGAAGCAGGGGCCGCATGCACACGTGGAGGAGGGCTGACAGCAGGGCTGAAGGCCCCAGCGAGGGCGGAGCTCGAGAACGTGGACCCTCTGCTGTAGAGCGGATTTTCTCTACAAGGGCTTAGCCGTCTGGATAGAAAGACAGGATTCCTTTGGTCCAGGGTGAGGATTTTCCAGGTAGGACGTGGAGGAGTATGGAGAGAAGAGAATTGGAATTATCAGTAAAAGAGTGCTTTAAAATAATTATTCATGGATCTAGGATAGGTAGAAAGGAAGCAGAGGTAAGGGATCGTCAGTCGAGAGAAAGGAAGCATGTCAGGGGTTCTGCATCTCTTGATGAGGTCGGAGAACCGATGAGATGGGAATAAAGGAATGAAAATTCCAGAAATAGAGGATGTTCCTTTCTTAATCTCAGAACCCGATGAGTCCTCCGCCACACGCTTCTGTGGTTGGTTGGTTCTCTATACTCCCTCCCTCAGCCTTCATCGCTACCTTTAAAATTATTTTCGTTGTCCTTCCTCCTGCTAAACTGTAGCCATAAGAGAACAGACTCTGTTTGTCTTGTTCACACAGCCCCAGCAGCCACCATGGAATCAAGCACATGGGCGATGGTCAGTAGATGTTAAGTAACCAAAGGAATCGGTCCGTGCTGTTCTGGTTTGAGACTATAGACTCGGGAAAAAGGCCCAGGATGTGGTCTCAACCTTGATGACTGACGTCTAGATAGAATGAGGAAACTGTTGGACGCCTAACTCAAAATAATGTTGGAACTTGCCAGGGGACGCAGTCAAATATTAAAGCTTTTGATTAATACCGGGCGGTGTTTAGGAGATTGGTCGTCATGGAAGCGTTCGAAGGTGGTCACGCATCTCAGAAGGAAGGTTTTAGGGGAGAGCATGAAAGCGGCGGTTTGGAAGAAGCAGTAATGAGGATGTGCTTCAGGCCTTTGTGGTATCTGGAATCAGAATAAGCAGCCTCTACTTAGAAAAGATATCAAGAGAGCAGAGTTCCCAGAGAAGGGCTTAGACGAAGGTCGGGGAGAGTCTGCTGTAGACGGAGGATCTTTTCCATAGACCGATTCTCTGTATTGGACACGGGACAGGATCGGCTGAGCGGGGGGAATTGGATCAAAACATAGGAAGCTCAGAGCACCATGTGGATGGACACATTTCATGTCCTTTACCTTTCCTCCTCTTTCTTTCCTCCCTTTTTCCCCCCTCTCTCTCTCTCCCTCCCTCCCTTTCTCCCTTATTTCCTTCCTTCCTTCCTTGAGTAAAGGCGTGAAAACCATGGCATGCTGGAGTGGCTGTAAACAGGGCTTAGGCTCTTTATAAGAGGAAAGAGGCTGCAGAAAGCAGTCCGCAAGCATTAACTCCGAGGTGGTCTCGCTCTGTGGTCGCCATTCCTATTTCCTTCTCCATGATGGCTTAAAAGTTTACATCCTGACTGTTCTGGGCGTCTTGAGAAAAGAGCAGGGATAAAGAAGCAGCAGAGCCATTCTGACTTTGGTAATAGCTATCTCTGTTTCTGTCCTTCATGGAACCCTAGCATCTTGGGCATTAAGGAGGCAGAAGGCTTACTCTTTCAGAAAAATCACTCGGTGTCCTGGTGTGGGAGGTTGGAGGGGAGGGGTTGGTTTTCCAAGATATGTGGCTGAATTAAAAATTGCAAGCCTGTTTATTAGATTTTTAAAATATAATGACATTCTGGTCATTTGCTAATCCCCAATGAAAAACAGTGTTTTAATGATTTAAAGAACAATTGGGGTGAATAATGTTTTTCAGGATTGCAAAATGTCATTACCTGTTGCTTATGCCATTTCTATAAAGCCTAAATTTATTATTATTTTGTTAAATAAAATGCTAGCAGATGATATTGATCATACAAAGTTGGTGTCTGGTGGTATTTGGAACCTGGAAATAGAAACAGAAATGTTTTTAGTGGAAAAAAGGTACCACATGTGACAAATGGTTTTTTAGATTGCTTAAATTTTCACAAAAAGATGTAGCTGTTTGAGTCTGATTCATCCATTCAGCAGTTATGTGCGGAACATCTACTATATGTCAGGCGGTGTTCTAGGCAGTGGGAATATAGCAGTGAAAAAGTAGACGAGGTCCCCGCCCTCTTGGGGCTTCCATTCTTGTGGGGGAGAGAGTGAATGGGTAAATGGCAGTGTAATAGTGAAAAGCGCTATGAATAAAATGAAATCAGATCGAAAATGGAGGTGTCTTTTACAGGAAGGCCCATCTGAGGACAGGGCATCTGAGCGTCGATCTCAGTGACGTGAGGGAACGAGTTTGGCTCAACCTCAGCGTAGCAGAAGGACAGCAGGGCTTAGAAATGAGGGCGGCGGTTGCGAGGGGTCGTGGCGACATGGTGTAATTCGTGTTTCTAAGAGTTCGCCGTTCATTGTGTGGCACGTGTTCTGAGGGTGGCAGAGGGTGCCTAGAGGCGGGCAGATGAGCCTGCCCTGGTTCAGAAGAGAGAGTACTGTGTTGGACGGTGTCCTCCGTGGAAGAGCCACAGAGGCAGGGTTAGACGTGCCAGGGTGCCGTCAGGGGAGGGGGTGGTGGGGAGAGGGGACCGGCTGAGGTTGGGGGTGTCCCGACTGCCATTCTCTCGTGGCCACAGATCGGAATGGAGGGTAGACAACAGGAAGTGAGAAGTTGCCGGACTTAGAATGTATTTTGAAGAGAGAGCTGACTTGACTCGTGATAAAAAGGGTAGAAAGAGAAGAGTCAAAACTCACTTTGGGGCTTCCGACCTGGTGTCCGGCTGGATGACGTTGACGCCGAGATGGGCATCTGCGGAGCCGTGAACTGAGGAGCCGAGAACTTGCTAATCTGAGGTTTCTGTTGACCTCAGTGGATTCTCAAGCTTGTGAATGTTATTTATCTTGGGTTCTCCTCTCCCTTCCTACAACAAGATTTGGGAGCTTCTTCAACTTCCATGTAAGAAGTAAGAAAAGGGATGGCATAGTAACAGGAAATAGATGTGCTAACACAGCGGTGTTAGTTGTCCCTGTTTTCCCGAGGCCCTGGTATGTGTACTGGAGTTTACTCGTGATAAGATAACCATTCTCCTTACCTGGATAAATGATCCGGGAGCGTTCTTTCTGCTTTAGGTTATTCTGGTCCCATGAAATTCCTAGATTATTGTTTAAAAAGTTGAAGATGTTTTAGGCAGTTAGCGGGGAAGTAAGTACTCGAGGAATGTGAGGGAGACTCTAGACTCCACAGAGGGTGCAAGGATTAGCCTTTAGAGAAAGCCCAAAAGGTGTGGCTCATCACGTGGCATTAAATGTGCAATAGTTTTAGGTACACGTAGTCAGGTAAGTAGCAACGAGACACTCAGGTGGCCTCATAGGTTCTTATTCACATTTATTTCATAAGCATACTATTTATTCCATTTTTTATTGCCAAAGACCTGAATCAAACAGGTTTATTATATAAGTTTATAAATAACTTAAAGTAATTTAACCATTCCTCAAGCCATTGTGATTAAAAAAAATCTACTCTGCATATGACCTAAGTCTTACATCCTTATTATACACCTATTGTTCGAGGATCACTTACCCCGTGCCAGGCCCTGTCAGGTGCTGAGACGAGGAGCAGGTGGTCCCTGGTCCCAGAAGCTCATGGTCAGCAGAGGAAACTAACCTGCATGGGCTACAGGTGCTGAATGCAACGCTCAGTGGTCAGGGCTGCGTCACCAGTGTTTATCACATTTTAAGTACAGAGACGGAAGCCATTATCCTAAAGAGAAAAGGATGTTTTAGTCCCAACGAAGGGGCGTTTGTCAGGCAGAGGAAAGAAGAGCATTACAAGGCGGAGGGTCTGGTACGAAGATCGACCGAGACAGACATGAAAATGGGGGGCGTGTACGGGGAGTCCTCGCATCCAGGAGGCTCCATAACACTGAACCTGGGGCGGGGTGGAAGCTTGAAGCTCTTTGCTCTGCCAAGGGTGTGGAATTTCTCCCAGGGATAATAGCTCAGCTGAGAGATTGCAAGCTGGAGAATGATCACGAAGACGTTGACGTGTAGGAAAGGTCACTGTGGTGGCAGTGGTGAGCGTCGCAGTGATGTGTGGGATGCGGGGACAGGCGCTAGGTGGTTGTCCAGGGGAGGCACACTGACGACCTGACCCCGGAAGGGCGAGAAGGGATGGAAGCTCCACAGACAGTTTCTGGATTCGGATTGGGTAGGACTGGAGAGTCATGAAATAGAAAAAGAATGAGGTGATTGCGAGGCTTCTGGTTTCCATGTAGGGTGGTGTCAAGAGACAGCATTTTGCCGAAAAGATGGTGACGCCGTCCATTGGGTAGAATTAAAAATACAGAAGAAAGGGCGAATTTCAGACAAAGGTAGTGGGAATCTGCATATGTGAGATAATAAACACGTTACACAAATATCGTACCGTGCACTTTATGTTAATTATTTCAGTTAGGCTTCACAGCAATCCTGCAGGGAGTATTATTGTCATCGTTTTACACAAGAACGTATCAAGGCTTAACGGGATCCAATAACTTGCCTAAGACCATGTGGAAAAGTTGGAACTTGAATCTGAGCTGAAATTAAATTCTGATGCCAGAATCTGCTTAATTGCCACACTCCCGAATCTTCCTTCATGTGTACACACACACAATCTAATCAAAGCTTCAGAGAACTTAGCAGATCCTGTGTAATAACCCTGATCTCTTTTATTCTCTTTGCAAAACAAAATTGCTGAGTGTAACCTATTGAGTTTATGATCCTTTTGTGGGTCCTGACCCACAATTTGAAAAACACAGGGACGGAGCTGGGGAACAATAAAAAGCACTGCTGTGGTCCCCATCATCAGGTGGCAGTGGGTTTTCAGTTGTCGTTGTGGTTTCATTTCTCAAAACGTATTTTTAACTATGATTGTGCAGGGACGATATTCTCCAGCAATTCTGTGGGATGAATCTCTTTTGCTCTTGGCCTCCGTTCAGGCTTGGAAAAGGGGAGTAGAAGAGGTGCAGCCACAGACGACCTGGGCAGGTGGTCATCCTTGTGTCCCATGTGTTCTCTCACTAATCTGTCCCTTCTATAAACTGCAGTATTTAAGCAATCCCTCCATGGTTATTGTGTGTCACCCCCTCACATGTGACATAACAGCTCCCAGCTCAATGCCTGGAACAGAGTAGTGACTCAACACGCGCCAAAAGACAGAGGGACACCAGCTGAGTCGGCCTGCCATCTCTTTAATGTGGACTCCGTCTCTGCCAAACTGACAGCCAGATGGTTAGAGTCTGGCAGCTCGAAAGCGCGGTGCCATTCCAGATCGTTCTGTGGTCGTGGGTTTAGGCCTGTTTGCTTGACAGAAAAGGGGGATTCACAGATTTTCAGATTCTGTTTCAACTCCACCACTGTTCTCCCAACACAAGCTGGAAATTACATTCAAGAAGCGTAAATGTCCTGATGCAACATTCACTATGTGAAAAGTGCATAAAACTTTGAATTTTATGAAGTATTTTAATGTAGAGTATTGTTAATAACTAATAGAGCCTCTGAAGACAGACTAATAGTGAAGAAGAAAATAAACGTGTTACATCTTGTAATAATCGTAGCCAAAGAATATCCATCTGAGCCAGATGGAGGGTGGGGAGAGTTTGAGAGGGAGAAAGTGCATATCTGTGTGTGTAAATTAAAATGTGTGTAGATATATATGTACATAGATAGATAGTAGCCTTTACTTACAGTGACAAAAGTTGAAAGCTCCTTTCTTACCATTTTAAGGCCTGGTGTTAACAAAAATGGATTTTTGCTTCTTTAGTTCAGTATGAACATAAAAGAACATTTGATGAGAGTTTAGTGCATTTCAGAGACATATTAAATGTACGTGATTTAAAAGAAAAGAAATTCTGCTTGAATGCTTAAAGAACCTCTTAAAAAAATTTTTTTTTTATGTGGACTCTGAAGTTGAGCACATGTAACTGAAGGCAAAGAAGAAACACACTCCTCAGCACAAGAGAAAAACAGGCTCAGCCTGCAACTTGAGAGATTTAAGATAGTTATAGGAATGCGCTTTTACTAAAACCCATTGCTAAATCAGTCCAGGCAGATGAGGACCTGTCCTCTTTCCATGCTCCGGAGAGATTAGACCCTGTTCCTTGGGAACACAGTCTCAGGTGTGTTCTCCCGCTGAGCAGGGACGACAGGCCCGGTGGCCCTCAGGCCGGCCCAGCCCTGCAGTTCAACTTGACTCTTCCCCTGTCAGCATCTTTCCAAACAGTAGCCAGGACTCCTTGCCCTCTCCAGGTACTGCCACTGACATCCATCACAGCATGCTGACAGGTATTTAAGAAGATCGTGACTAGACTTTCTAAGAGTTTATTTAAAATTAGAACCACTTAATCAGTTCCGATAGCTTTCTTAATATTATTCAACTCCCCGTTAGGTTGACTGTGTGAAATTCTCATTTCTGCATGTCATAAATGTTGAATATCTGTAATTTCCTATTGTCAACCTGTAGTTCAAACTGTATCCCTGCTTTATACATATTTTGTATTTTGCTCTGATTATTGTGTGCGTGTGTTGTCGTTTTTTTTCCAGCAATCGGGAGCAGTAGCTTCAGCCCAAGACCAAGTCACCAGTTCTCCCCACCACAGATCTACCCTTCCAAGTAAGATATATTTTCTCTTAATAAGTCGATTATCTGAGTATTTTACCTCATTTCAAGCCATGTCTTGTGCCCACATGTTACATCTGAAACTCAAGTGCGTTTCATAGAAACTTAAATGTGTTTACGCAGATTTATTTTGGGCCTCACCTAGACACGGAAGTATTTCAGCACTTTGTATCTTGTATTTGAAAGATAGACTGTAAGAGACCGTCTGTAACTAGAGTTTGTGATATGCTTGTGAATCAGTTACCTTGCATGTTTCCATCTAATGCATGGGCTTTCATTTTCTGTCATTTCTGACAAATAGCAGAGCATACCCACATATTCTCCCTACCCCTTCCTCACAAACTATGGCTGCATATGGGCAAACACCGTTTACCACAGGGATGCAGCAAGCGACGGCCTACGCCACGTACCCACAGCCGGGACAGCCGTACGGGATCTCGTCATATGGTGAGTGCGTCCGCTCTCTTAGTGGTGCGGTTTATCTAGAGGGCTCGCCCGGGTGCGTGAAAGCATCACAGGAGTGGCACTGAAAGACTCATCGTGGGCCACTTTGGAAAGCGTGGTCCCCTTTGATGTCTACATTCTCACTGTGACTGTTTCTAATGAGCGCTGTGAGAACTGGTGGCTACTTCTCTTGGGAGCGGAGACAAATAGGTCGCGTGGTTCGTCCGCCCTCTCGCTCTCATTTTATTCCGTTTCTATCTCAGCTCTTAATTTGCCATTTGAGCGCTTGGCTCTGGCATCCTAAGTATTTCGGTGCATATTTGCGATAAAACTTCTGTGAATAAAGTCTTTTGGGGTAAAGATTCATTTCCTATTTATCAGATGCCTAGTTATGATTAGGGAAATACAAGTGGAATTCAACAAAGCCATGCTCTAAAGCTGAGGGTGGTGGTGGTATCCGATTTCAGCATTATCCACCTTTAGGAAAAGCGATCTGCATATCTGGCTTAGGCTGCACTTTAAAGAGGCAAATCAGGAGGCGTTTAACGCTCGCCTCCCGTTTGTTCCTTCCCACCTGGAGGTTATCTTTATCTTGGTAAAATTTAACCCAATTGTTACAGGGTCAATACCCGTAAATTAAAAATAAATCCAGCACAGCTCCAAACGTAGTTTTTAAAAAATTCGGAATTTCAAAATACCTTTTCTTCAAGTGAATCGCAGTTGTGATTTTAAACAAATTGCAACTCGTGTGCATAGAAAAATATGAATTATTGGCATTAAGAAAAAGGTAAAGCCTAATGATCGAGAAAAAGTACATGAATGGAAGAAAGGACCGGTAGAATATAAGAACTATATTCCGTGATCTAATTATGTTTCTGCTGCTATTGTAGTTTTCAAATAGTCTCTGCATATTGAAAGCACTAATGTGTTTCTTTAAGCATTTCATTAATAATTAACAATTAACAATTAAAAGGTAATTAACAATTAAAAGGTAACTTCATTTCTTTCATTTTCTCTTTTCCCCAAACCAAATCGACCATATATAAACCTTTTATAAAATACATAGAAGTTAAAAATCTAAGTTACATATAACTTCACCCATTATAGTTTTATTTCAAAACTATCAGAACTGAATGTGATCTAGGTAGTTGTTTCTAAACCAGACTTTAAAAAGAGCCATAAAATCGCCTTTCTAGAATTCTCTTTGATTTCCGTAACTTGTACTCAAGGTTTCTCAAAGTAATATTAGAGACAGATCAAATTTATCTGTAATTTACTTTTAGACTATTATTTTTGCTAAAAGGGGGTGCGGGTCTATGATTTGTATTGTGTAGCTTCAGTTCCGTAAGGTCAGTTAAGGATTCCCCAATTTAGAGTCTCAAAATTTATTTGTAAGCTGATTATTTGAAGTTTAAGTGTATTTTCCAGCACCAGCAATACCGAGGTACCTCAGACCTGCCCGTGCTGCTGCAGGAAGGTGCCATTCTGGTTACTGCCTTGGTCACCACTCTCACAGTCCTCATTCATTCAGTCCTAATAGGGCCCTCTGCCAACTTCCGGGCTGTGGGGTGGGGACTCCTCCAGTTCTAAACCATTAGCAAAAGTCCCTGTTGTCTGAAGTAGTTGCTCCAGGAGGATGAGATGAGCAGAGGTCCTGAGATTGGAATCAGGACTAGCAGAGTGAGGGTGGGGACTTTAATGTGACAGGTGGGGGTCAGGGAGGTGGTGAGAGTCAGGTCCCATCTGAAGGGCTTTGCTCCCTGGGCCTTCTGTGCTTATAAATCGTCTGGGAGTCATTCTCAGTCCTTAGCATTTCCCTGATCACATTCTTTCTTCCCTTTTTTTTTTTTGGCATTGAATAGAAGGAGAGGCCCCAGTGCTTCTGACCGGGCTTTCTGTTCGTGCTGGGGTCAGCACATCGAGAAATGTGGCGACCTCCTCCCCATTCCTTTTCACGAAGGAGGAGCGCGTAGTCAAGGTCCCAAAGGTCTTAAAAGATCTTCTCCAAGGATTCGTGCCCCCTGACTTTTTACTTAGACCTCGTAAGGAAAGATAGGCAAATCTTTTCATAGTAAGAACAATAGATGGGTGCGGGAGAAGAGCTCATGGATCTGTCTGGAGTCGATCAGCGAGATGAGCTGGCCAGCTTGTAGGCAGAAGCCATGGAGACAGGTGCGGCTATAGCGAGCCGTCTTCTACCTCTCCTGCTTTTCCTTCCCTGTTCTTATCACAAAGATTCCTATCCAAAGTTAAAAAGAGTTGGTATAGGTAAAGACTGGAAGCATCTCATTATATCCTCAAATGGGGAGAGAAGGGAGGAAACCTCTCCTGAGACAACATGAGAAGAGAGAGGTTCGAGAACCGTCAGGCCACCTGTCCTGGGACCATTTATAAGTTTGAGTTATTCGTTGGTTTGGCATTGCCTACATAGGAAAAAATCACATTTTAAAAAATGTTAACATTACGTTAAGACTTCAATGCGAAGGCCGTTAGGAGGTTATTTAGAGATACTCCAGGAGTTAGAGGAGGCTCTCTGGGCCAAGAGTCAGATTCTTCCACTGCCTTCGGAAAGTTACCTAACTTCATTCTACTGATGAAATTCCCCTAAAATGGAAATAAACAGTGAGACTACTGTGTATTCTAGATCCCAAAGATATCATTTATCTTAAGTGCAAAGTAAAATTATTAAAAAATGTGAATTCCCTTGGAAGAAATTTTCCTCGCCCTTCCCTCTGTGGCAATTAAGGACAGTTGTTAACTCGCATGACTGTCTTTCATTATGATCCAGGGCTGAGCCCTGTAAAACAGCCCTGCCAGACCCATGCCCCCAAATTAAGGTGTCAGCCTGGCACTTTAGGAAGTATTGGGGGGACACAAATACGTTATTGTTGTACTACAATATGATAAAATGGAAGTGTATTTTAGGCTACACTTAAAAGTTATATTTGAATAAATAATTGAAACTACAAGGAACAAAAAGGGAACTACTAGTCAACTTGTTTATAAAATCACTGTGTTCTAGAGGATTTCATTCTTAATACCCTGCTTTTTTGGTGCTTACTTCCTGGTTGGATCTGAATGTTGGGAGGAGGTTTTCCTTTGTGTCGCTTAGTTCTATGCCCAGTATTGCTTCCTCTAACTTCAAAATGAGTGTGTACTAGAAACAGCTTTGTAGTAGGAAGAGTAAAGAAGAAGAAAAAAGAAAAACATGCTACGAGGCTAGACACTCTAACCACGTTTTAGAAAAAAAGGATTGTGATGTTAATCGACAATAGCGACTTTAGGAATAATTTAAAGTTCAGTTATGGCCATTTCTTAACTATAGAGGAGATGATCTTAAACTCTTATAAAACAACAAAACTAGGTACAGAAATTATATCACTGGTGTTAAATCTTATAGAAAACGGAATTCAGGAAACGACAAGAAACAACAGTGTGAACAGACATTCAAATCTGTATAACCCTGTGTTTTTGTTTTTTTTGAAACGAAGTTATGATTTAGGAAGCTCCACTCTAAACACATATACCCTTGGTTATTGAAATACTGTGGGGAAGCATTTGTGACTAAACAGTTACGAGAGTTTTTGTGTATTTACCAGCTTTTGAAAATGAACAGATAGATAAGCTGTCACTAACTGATTTAGGTGCATTGTGGGCAGGCATCAAGACTGAAGGCGGATTGTCACAGTCTCAGTCACCGGGACAGACGGGATTCCTCAGCTATGGCACGAGCTTCGGTACCCCCCAGCCTGGACAGGCACCGTACAGCTACCAGATGCAAGGTCTGTATCCACGCTGCCGCTGCTCTCTGCATCCCCCCTGCAGGGCGATAGGCCCTTTCTAAAGTAGGATCTGGTGCTTTATGTCACCAGATGATGGTGGGAAGTGGACTGGGCTGAGAGGCAAAATACCGGATTCTGCTTGGACTCTTACCCACTCTCCGAGCCTAAGTTTCCACATTTATACCATCAAGAGGTTAGCCTGAATGAGCACTAAGGTTCTTTTCAAAAAACTCTCAAATTCTTTGTGAAGTCGAAGTTTTCTGCCTTGGCTTCTGTCATTTATAAAAGGAATAATAATAGCAAAAATAAATAATAACAACAATAATAATAATAATAAAAAACCCACACGTCAAGATATAAAGAGGTTGTGGTGTGATATATACTAAAAACTCTGGCTCTTGGGGTGGCCAGTAACCTTTCTCAAAGTGCTAAGTTTCATTCATTTGTGTTATCACAGCTCTAGAAATAGAGTATGTAGTATGCATTGACTAAATGACCTACCAAAGACCAGGAGGTCGAACTGACAGCTACTCAGTATGTCTGCCAGATACTGCCTCCGAGCACTGGTCCTTGGGTTCTGACGTGGGAACTAGACGACACAGAATCGCAGTGCCTATATGTGGCCTCCCGGCCACTGGTCCAAACCGAGCTAAGGGCAGAAAATTTCGAGTTAGTTAGGCTCATAGACACCTTTATAGTAGGTCGATCCTGAACCTTATGCTGATAAAATCACATCGTAATTTTAAGCAATGGGACGCGTACTCCCTCTTTCTTTTTTCATTTCATGCTTTTAGTAATGTGTGACTGCTGTGTTTTGCTAAATTCTCAGTCCAGGAAGGATTAGGGGGAAGAACTCATCCTGCGCCTCAGAGAATTTGAGAAGTTTTGCACGTGAGAGTCCTTTTTATCTTTCTGTCCTCACAGATCAACACTTATGCAGCAGAAACAAGTCCTGAGAGGACTAACGAGCTCTCAGAGTATGAGTGAGCGCGGTGTTAGAGCAGAGAGAACGGGGGAAATAAAGGAGGAGAGAAGAAAGTAAATGTGGAGGGAAAAACCTCTTTGTTTTAAAAAAGAAACAAGGACGTGCGTAGCTCCCAACGCAGCAGCATTTTTCGTCCCTCAGGTTTCGTTGCACCTGGACCCATTGGCTCTGGCATTAAAAATATTTTGTTTTTGTTTTTGTTCATCCCTTTGTCGAATGGCCTTTCCAGGGGGGATTTTAGAACCCATTTCTAGCACCGCGTTATTATTTCATATGGATATTACTATAATGGCACTTTACTCCATTTTAGATTATTGGATGTAATATGATTTCCACATATCAAACCAGATAATATGCTATTAACTTGAAAGTTAACTGGCTGGTATAATGATGGATAATGGTATATAATATACCACAGATACTTTGTGGCCAAATCCGGATGAACAGATTTTGTTTAATATGTGTTTCTTAAATACTGTGTTACGAAAAATGTTTCGCCATTATTAAATTACTTTGTGTGCCCCGTTTGGAAAGTCTGTTGACCTTTGTCTTTTCAGTACATCTCTTTTTAATATAAACATTTCTAGAATGTCCAAGATTATTTTTAAAATTCTCCAAATTCTGTTATTTTTAATAACAGTGATTTTTGCTTAAATCCCTCTCGTAATGCTCTAACACTAAACGCTCATGAAGTAAAACCTCAGGAAATCTGATTGCTTTCACCTTTGCTGCAGAATTGCTGAAAATTCTATTTCTGCTTCATCATTCTTGTGCATCCAGTGAAAGATTAGAAACTTAGTTAAGTTTAACCGAGAAAGACAAAATGTTTTTGTTCTCAGACAACTGGTAGAGTTCACCCCGAAGAAGGGAAATCCTTGCTAGTCGTGTTTGACATCTGCCTTCTCCCAGGGTCAGCCTTAGCGCTCCTGGAAGGTAGGGGGTAGTATGAGCAGGGTTTTCTTCACACACCATTGACACACCTTATGCAAGTTAGAGCAGAACGCGTGAGTGTGGACTGACTGAGGCTGCCTGGAGCGCCCGGGTCAGCTGTGAGGTAGTGCAGATAGTGTTTTCATGCTGCTCACCAATCAGAGGATGACAGCAAGAACGGAAGAGTGAGTGTGCGTGCGTGTGTGCGTGCGTGCGTGCATGCGTGTGCGTGCGCGCATGTGCATGTACACACGTGCACACATGCGTGTGCATGCATGCATACATGTGCTAAGGGTAAGAAAAGCACTTAGAAACTGCTTCAGCCTTTGATTCACTGACCAGTTTCACAGAATATCTGCCCAGTTTGTTATAAACAAGTTTTATTCTCTTTTTATGGAAAGAGGCATCTGACTTGAAATCAAGCTTTTAGCTAGAATATTTTTAAATGCAAGTTTCAGACCTATTGCTGGCATCACCGTCCATTTACCCCCACATCCTATACGACGTAGACTCAGAGTTCCATCCACCATAGGAAACGAGAAATTGTGTTCACAATTTGAGTCTGCGTCAGATGAAGAAAAATGAAATTTCGTTTAGCAATCTAGTATAGGTAAGGAAGTACAAAAGATATTCACACCAAAAAATAAAAAATAAAATTGAGTCACTTAATAGTTAAGCTTCAGTTTTGAAGAAAATGCAGCTTTCCGTAGTAACTTCGTTGTGTTGATTCCAGACAGTTGCAGGCAGTGACCGTTTTCACTCATTTTTTCCTCTCCACTGTCTAGTAGCACGTCTAAAACGCACAGCTGTTAGTTAGACGTGGAGGGGCCTGTGCCTCGGTGACAGTTAGAAATTAAGAGTCATAAGGACTCTAGGTCTCTTCATTTGGAGAGACGGATTTGGAGTTTGGCATAGCAGAAGTCTCGGCTAGTTTCTTGTCCTGGCTTGTTCAAAGGGGCCATCCCTGTGTTCATCCTGGTAGATGGAGCTGGTCGGAGGTGTCACAGACTTGCGTGGCCATTCAGAAAGCCCTTCTGGGCGTTTTATTGCCCCGAAGAGCAGCGACAGTGCAGGACATTCCTGTCATTCTGCAGCAAGCATCAGGCTACGCCGTGGTAGGTGGCTGCCCAGACGCACACGGCCGAGACTCCGCAGGCTCTGGTTCTCCGCTTTGTCTGTTTTCCTTTAGACTTTATTGCTCTCACGTAGAGACGAAAATCACGCCAATTCTGACTTCCTCTCTACCTATAATGTTGTTTGTTCTGTTAAAGAGATCGGGGTTCAAACCAGGGAGGAGAGATAGTAAATTAAGGGCTGAAGCTCATTAAAGGGGTGTGGAAGGGCTCACAGCTCCGCAGCTCTCCACAGCTCGCTCATAGGGGCTCGTTATGAAGTGGGAGTGACCTAGTAATAATCCAGTGATGGACACACCACCCCCGCTTCCTCTGGGCTGCCTGTCTATAGCTTTTCAAATAGTTAGCTGAAGCGTGTCCGTTTATCGGTCATTTATAACCTCGAAACTGCTTAGCAAAATGTCCTGTTTGAAGTCTCTCGTTATCTATAGAAATGGTATTTTTCAAAACGAAAAATACTAAACTCCAAAATATCTAGTTTGAAGAAAATATATATTAAACCATTTCCTAATCTGCTACGATAAGCATTTCAGGTTTGCTCTTTCTGACACAAAATGACATGGCGGAGCTGGGACTGGAGATTAGCTGCTGCAGCTCGCACTCACATTCAGAAATTTCCCCATAATCGCTTTGCCGATCTACTCATATTCAGTTTGTGGCTTTTTAGCATTCTAGAATTTTTTCGTGTATATTTAAACTGATTTTTGAAAAGTAATATTTCGTTTCAGTTCTTTTGGCAGCATGTGGTATGTCAGTGACGGGTTAGATACTGTCTGGAAATCTTGAAATCCAGTTATAGCAATAATTAGTCAATGATCAATACCAATATTATTGTCTGTATGAGTTGTTTTTCAGTTTGAACATATAGAAATGGATTAAGAGATAAATATAAAGGCTTTGCAATCTTTATTACCTAGGTTAAAATTCTCTTTAGAATATACAAACTATTACTGGGATAAAAAAGGGAAACTCGGTCATACAAAATCCTTCTTATGAGAAAGGGGGAAAATGTTGCTTTTACATAGCCCATCTGGCCTTCAGAGGCCTTTCCCTCGGGAGCTGCACCAACTTCTGCCACATAGATCGTGCCTGATGATGGACGTAGCCTGTGGCAGAGAGGCCAGGGAAGGAAAGCAAATGGACTCCTGTGAAAATACACAAGGGACGAATAGCATCCTGCTTGTCCAGTAAGTGCTAGAAAACGCTCTAAAACACGGCAAGCACAGACAGGCCCCCGCAGGTTCCAGCATTCTCATGCTGGCCGGGGTTCTGGTCCTTAATGTGAGTCCTTGTTCTCTGTGAAGTAGACCTTTGACCTGCATGGTACCTTTTTTTTTTTTTTTAAGTTTTTTGAAGTTATAACTGGGCAGCGTTCTCCAGGTTAAATCATATACCAAACTTTGAGTTAACATTTTAAATCATGTTATAAATCAACACAGGCTGGATTCTTCTTAACTGTGGAAAAACTAGTAGGGATTTATTAGTAAACGTTTTGAGGGGTTGGTTTATTTTTAAACTACAATTGCTTAGCACCTATAGAACCAGGTAGCCCACAGAGTCTTCTAGCAAGACTGTTTCTTGTTTGTTACGGTCGACAGGACCACCAGCCTTTGTAGGAACCCCTGACAGTGACGAGAAAAAAACACGATCTTTGCGATACACTATCCTTGGGCGACTTTATATAATTTACTTTTAAAATTGTTTACTAGCCTAAAAAGAGAGTTGCAGTGAAGAAGTCTTTCAGAAATGAAATAGTTTGATTCTAAATTTATTTACTGAATTTCTCAGGTGTTCTTTTCTCTAACCTTTGTGTGTCTGTGATATTTGTGTAACCAAAAATTAATACCAATTTTCGATAGTATTTATTTCACTTTTAATGTTACTGAATCTAGAAGAAGGCGGGTTAGGCGTGGTATAAAACAGTGACCCGGGAGTGGAGATAAGGGTCATCC